TTTGGTCGCACTGCAACTTATCGCCATCTCCGTGTCTTTGGTTGTCTCGCATATTACAAGGACACGCATGCCCACTTGGATAAGTTTGGCGAACGAGGGCGTGCAGGGTTGTTCTTGGGATATGCCGCAAGCCAGAAGGGATACAGAATTTATGACTTGGCTTCTCATCGCGTCATCACTTCCCGCGACGTGAAGTTTCAAGAAGATATATTTCCTTTTCAGGAGGGAACTCAGAAGACCCTTCATTGGATTCCTCATCCTCCTACTGCAGCTGCGCCTGAGTCCCCCGACTCTTCTCCTCTGACGAGCCCGCAGCCTTCACCTACTGGGCCGGAGCCCAGTTCCCCTGCTGCTTCACTCGGGCCCTCTTCCTCAGGGCCGCCCACGTCGCCCTCTCCTCAGCTGGGTGATGGGCCGGAGCCCAGCTCCTCATCCCCTTCGCCCGGGCCGTCTTCAGGGCCTCACACCGAGGTCCCCTCTCCCTCGGCTAATTCCCCAGCTCCAGTGCCTCGGCGTGGCGATCGTGTACGCCACCGCCCCAAGTACTTGGACGATTATGATACCACTCTTACACCACACTCCGGACAGGGAAGCACCACTAATCTCGTTCGTTACCCTCTTGCATCCCATGTTGATTATACTAAATTTAAGCCTGTTTATCGTGCCTTCCTTGCAGCTCAAACACGCTACGATGAACCCCGATTCTTTTATCAAGCAGTGCGTGAACAAGTTTGGCGGGATGCCATGACTAGAGAAATTCGCGCATTGGAAGAAAATGGCACGTGGAGTCTCGTTTTCTTACCCCCTGGTAAGCGCACTATCGCTGCCAAATGGGTCTACAAGATCAAGTTCTATCCTGACGGGACCATCGAGCGTTTCAAGGCATGATTGGTTGCAAAAGGCTACACTCAGATCGAAGGACAGGATTTCCATGACACTTTTGCTCCTGTTGCTAAGCATGTCACTATCCGTTGTCTCATTGCCATTGCTGTCAGTCGGGGTTGGCATCTACATCAACTCGACGTCAACAATGCTTTTCTCCATGGTGACCTTGATGAGGAGATTTACATGGAGATTCCTCCTGGTTTTCGCAAGCCTGGTGACACTCGTGTATGTCGCCTTCACAAGTCTCTATATGGACTACGTCAGGCTTCGCGGCAGTGGTACCAAAAATTCACCGCCGCTCTCTGCGAATTTGGCTTTCGCTCCTCTCCTGCTGACGCGGCTCTCTTTATCTACCAGCGGGGGAGTACCTTCGTCACTGCTTTGATCTATGTTGACGATGTCATCTTGGCTGGTAATGACTTGGACTTTATCTCGCAGGTGAAGCGGTTTCTTGACGAGAAGTTCAGCATTAAAGATCTTGGCATCCTCCGCTACTTCCTTGGCATTGAGGTTGCCCGCACTTCTGATGGCGTTGTGCTCAACCAACGCAAGTACACTCTTGATATCCTTGAAGACGCAGGTGTTGAGGCATCTCGACCAAGTTCGTTTCCCATCGAACAAAATCATCAGCTCACTCGTAACACTGATGATCTTCTGGCCGACCCCTCCCCTTACCGACGTCTCGTGGGGCGTTTGCTTTACTTGACAGTGACGCGTCCGGATATCACTTATGCTGTCAACATCCTTAGCCGGTTCGTTCATGCCCCTAGTACAGTGCATTGGGACGCTGCCCTCCGCATTCTTCGCTATCTGAAATCAGCTCCCGGTCAAGGCCTGTTTTTCCCAAAACAGAGTAATTTGCAACTCACTGCTTACTGCGACGCTGATTGGGGTGGCTGCCAGCGCACACGCCGCTCAACCACAGGTTTCTTTATCAGTTTGGGAGGCGCCCCAATATCCTGGCGCACCAAGCAACAACAGGTCGTGGCGCGCTCTTCAGCTGAGGCTGAATACCGTGCCATGGCTAGCACTGTCAGTGAGATTGTCTGGCTTCGCTGGTTACTTGCAGAACTCGGGGTCCCTCAGACTGCCTCCACTCCCCTGCACTGTGACAATCAGGCGGCTCTTCACATCTCCAACAACCCTGTCTACCACGAGCGTACCAAGCATGTGGAGATGGACTGTTACTTTGTTCGTGAACGTGTCATGTCCGGTGATATTCTTCCAGTCAAGATCCACACTGATCAGCAGCTTGCCGATATCTTCACCAAAGGACTTGGTTCCGATCGTTTTCATTCCCTTCTTTCCAAACTGCACATTCGGGATCTTCATGTGTCAGTTTGCGGGGGAGTATTGGGCTGTACCTATCCGGCCCACACTTGTGATGCCTACGTCCATCGTGAGGCTGCTGCCCATGTTGCTCATGCAACCAGTGCAGCCGTGTTCTACAAGGACATGGATTCAATTATTCCTTTTGCTTCTTGTGTACGTAAGAATTGTACCCTAGATGCTAGTGACAATGGGTATAAATATGTAACCACGGCAATAAGTCGTAATCATCAATAACACAAGTCTCCTATTCCCGTGGATGTAAGCCTCACCCACTGTGAGGAAGAACCACGTAAAATCGTTGTCTCACGTATCGTTTTCACATAATTTCGGATTTCCTTGTCCATGGAAGTTTTTAACCAACCCTTCACCATGGCATCACAAGTGTGGGCCGGATAGGTACAGCCCAATAGACAAAAGTAATTTATTTCCTTTATTTGGTGGGCAAATGACAATGGTGGGAGGAGCTCGTTGAGAGCTTGTTGGAAATGGAAGGAAGTTTTTTTTATTTGGGACAAAAGAGTTGAGATTGGCAGAGGGATGGAGAAAAGAACTTATTCTTTATTGCTTGTGCTTCTCTACACACCATTTCCAACGAAGTACATGGCTATTTATAGTCTCCACATTTGCAAAATATCCAAGCAACCGACTTAAGTCTCTGGTGCTTATTTTTTTTTGCTTTGTTTAATCCAACAATCATGCAACTAACTTATTAATTTCAAACCTAACCACTTCTGGACTTTTCTAACAAACTACCACAAGTTGGTTCTGTAGGACATTCTGATATTTTTGCTTTGATAGTTTTAATTAAACTTTATTTTATAATTTCAACACTCCCCCCTTAAAGTTTAATTCGGTGTAACTCCGAGTAGCATCCTCATCTTGACGAACACATCTTGCTTCAGTGGCTTCGTGAAAATATCAGCAATTTGGTCTTCAGTCTTCACATACTTCAGCGTTACTTCTTTTTGTTCCACGCATTCTCTTAAGAAATGATATCTCGTATCAATGTGCTTACTGCGATCATGAAACACAGGATTCTTTGCTAGTGCCAGGGCAGACTTGTTATCCACAAATATCTCAGTTGATTCTTCTTGTGTCATATTCAACTCCTTCAGCAACTTTCTCAGCCATATCGCATGACACGCACACGATGTCGCAGCAACATACTCAGCTTCACAAGTAGACAGTGTCACTATAGCTTGCTTCTTTGAACTCCATATGAAAGCTGTATCTCCAAGGAAAAATACAAATCCTGTAGTGCTCTTGCGATCATCCACGTCTCCTGCCCAATCACAATCGCAGTATCCAACCAATTTGAAATCTTATGATTTAGTATAAAGCAGACCATGATTGATTGTACCTTTTATATAACGTAATATCCTCTTGGCAGCATTCCAGTGTGACATTGTTGGTGCCTCCATGTATCTGCTGACTAATCCAACTGCGTAGAGAATATCTGGTCTAGTACAAGTCAGATATCTCAGACTTCCCACAAGGCTTCTAAACTCCGTTGAGTTGGCCTTCTCTCCTTTATCATCCTTGGATAACTTTAGTCCACACTCGGCTGCTGTGCTCACAAGATTACAATTCTCCATCTTAAACTTCTTCAGGACCTCTTAGGCAAAACCACTCTGTGAGATGAAAATTCCTTCCTCCTTTTGACTCACTTCAATTCCGAGATAGTATGACATTAGTCCGATGTCTTCATGAACTCTTCAAACATTTGAGGATCGTTGCCTGTGAAGACAAGATCATCTACATATAGGCAAACCATCAAGATTGCTCCCCCTTGCACCTTGCAGTATAGTGCATGCTCATGTGGGCATTTGCTGAACCCATTTTGCTGAAAATACTTGTCAATCCTGCTATTCCAAGCTCTAGGTGCTTGTTTCAGACCATACAATGCTTTCTTTAGCTTCAACACCTTATCTTCTTGACCTTCAACGATATATCCAGGGGATTGCTCCACATAGATATCTTCCTCAAGATATCCATTGAGAAAAGCTGACTTCACATCCATCTGGTGTATCTTCCATCCATTTTGAGCAGCGAGAGATATCACCATCCTGATACTTTCCATTCTCGCCACGGGAGCAAATACTTCATTGTAGTCAATGCCTGGTCTCTGACTATATTCTTTAGCCACCAATCTTGCTTTGTGTCTGACGACTTCTCCTTTAGCATTTTTCTTGGCCTTGAATACCCACTTCACACCGATTGGCTTCTGGTTCTTAGGAAGTGACACAAGCTCCCAAGTCTTGTTCTTCTCAATTGCTTGAATTTCTTCATCCATAGCTCTCCTCCATTTTTCATCCTTCATGGCTTCTTCAGCATCCACTAGTTCATCATCAATGAAATGACAGTAGAGTGTCAATTCATCACCTTCAATGGTTGTCGTTTCCTCATAAATTTCTTCAAGTCTTCTATACTTCTGTGGCCTTTCTTTCGGACTTTCACTCAATTCTCCTTCTGGGCTAGCAGGCTCTCTGGGGTTAAAGACACATTTGGTCACTGAGATTACAAAATCGGGACATGTTTAGTCACTAGAAAAAGTTAATATCAAATTTGGTCACTACAATTACTAAAATAGGTCATATTGAGTCACTCTCCGTTAGTCTCCGTCCAACTCCGTTAGTGGAGTCCGTTAAGTGCTGACGTGGCTAACGGATGCGCCTAGTCAGCATCGTTTTGACCAAAAATCATCATACCCGACCCGCCACGTCACGTCAGTTTCACCGCCATGTCATACACCAACCCAACCATTAATACACCCCGGCAATCTCCTTCATCGCCCCACCGCCAAGCCCATCCCCATTCCCGCCGCCGCCGCCGGCGGCATCCCCGCCGGTCCAGATGCTCAGCTTCGGCTGCAGCCCGCGGACGGCGTCCGCATTGATCTTCGCCAGCTGCTGAAACATGCCGCCGTTGATCATCAGGTAATCCCTCAACGCACCATAATCCCCTCCCACCGCCTCCAGCAGAGTCTTCAAGTAAAACCCCTGCGCCTTGGCCAGCGCCATCATCCCTTCCGCCTCCTTCTGCTTCCCGTATAGCTCCGCGTCCGCCGCCTGCTGCCGCGCGAAGAACGCCGCCTTCGCCGCCGCCATCTGCGCCTCCGCCTCCTTCTCTCTCCCGTACAGCACTCCCTCCGCCGCCTTCTGCTTGTTGTACAGGTCCCAATTCGCCTCTTGTACCTTGAAACAACGCACAGAATCATCAATCGATTAATTCTCACCCACAATCTTCAATCAATCAATAGCATTCATCAACCAATCAATTTCCAGATGAAAATCACCAAAACCTAGATTTGAAATTAGAAATTGATTCGCCCAATTGAGATTGTATACCTTGGTGTCGTACTCGACGCTGGCTTTGGTGAGGAGCTCGGCCTTGAGCTTTTCAGTAGTGGCGAGGGCGTTCATCCGCTCGACTTCCCTCTGCAGCTCGGCGTCGCGGAGCGCCACCGCCTTCTCCGATTCGACCTCCGCGACTCGGGAAGCCTGAGTCCAACCGGCCTTCTTCTGAGCCAACTCGGCGTTCGCCTCGGCGACCTCTGCCTCCCTCAGATTCTCGTAGATCTTGACCTTGGCCTTCACATTGATCTCCTCCTTCTTACCTTCCCCCTCCCTCTGAATCGCAATAATCTTAGTCTCGGCGTCGATCTTGGCCGCGTTCTGCTTCGTGAGCCCGTCGTGGGGGCAGATCAGCTTCGCGTACTTGAGCAGGGCGTCGTCGTCGTCGTAGCGCGGGCCGATCGTGAAGACGGCGGGGAGGATGAAGGGGAGCTTCTTGGCGGACATGGCCTGGACCTCGAAGGTGTAGTTGACCGGGGAGATGTCGAACTTGGTGCAGGATTGGCCGGGGAAGATCCATGACTTCTTGGCGAGCTTGATGTCCTTGATCCCGACGCCGGTGATCGCCAGGTACTCCGACGCTTTCGCGACTCGGTACATTGTGGCGGCGAGTTGATTTGGATTCTTGGGGTTTCTTGGTGTTTTTGGGGGTTTTTGTGGGAACGATGAAAGATTTGCAGGTGGAGAACGAACGACAAAAGTTTAGAGTTTGGTTTTGGGTCGGGTTGGGTTAATGGTTGGGTTGGTGTATGACATGGCGGGTGAAACTGACGTGGCGGGTCGGGTATGATGATTTTTGGTCAAAACGATGCTGACTAGGCGCATCCGTTAGCCACGTCAGCACTTAATGGACTCCACTAACGGAGTTGGACGGAGACTAACGGAGAGTGACTCAATATGACCTATTTTAGTAATTGTAGTGACCAAATTTGATATTAACTTTTTCTAGTGACTAAACATGTCCCGATTTTGTAATCTCAGTGACCAAATGTGTCTTTAACCCAGGCTCTCTGTGACTGGGTGGACTTGTCACAGGTGTAGCTGTATCTGGTTCATCATCACTTTCATCCATAGTGAATGGATAAAAAGTGTAATTCTTCTTTGCTTCAGCAGTCCAGTCCCATGTTGATTTTTCATCAACCACCACGTCTCTGCTGATGATCAGCTTCTCTTCCAAGGGATCAAACATCTTGTAACCTTTTGAGTGTTCTGAGTATCCCAGGAATATGTATTTCTTGCTTTTGTCATCCAACTTTTTTCTTTCCTGATCCGGTACGTGCACATATCCGACACTTCCGAAGACTCGGAGGTGAGAGACTGTGGGTTTCCTTCCGCTCCATGCTTCTTGGGGTGTTTGATTCCAAACACTCTTTGTTGGTGACCTGGTCAGCAGGTAGACTGCACAATCAACAACTTCAGCCCATAGCTCTTTCGGCAGGTTCTTGCTCTTCATCATGCTTCTCGCCATGTTGAGGACAGTTCTGTTCTTCCTCTCAACGACTCCATTCCGCTGTGGGGATCTTGGGACTGTGAGAAACCTGCGAATTCCTTGATATTCAGAGAACCTCCTAAACTTCTTTAGCATAAATTCTCCACTTCTATCTGATCTCATTGCTTTGATGTAGCGGCCACTTTCATTCTCTACGAGCATCTTGAACTTCTTGAAAGCTTCAAATGTGTCTGACTTCTGCTTCAAGAAGTAAACCCATGTCTTTCTACTGTAGTCATCAATGAACAATAGAAAATATTTGTTCTTGCCAAATGATGTTGGAGTGATCGGACCACATAAATCTGCATGGACGAGCTCAAGTGGTGCTTTAGCTCTTGACAGGGACTCCTTCGGGAAACTTGCCCTGAATTGCTTCCCAACTAAGCATCCTTCACACAACTGGTCTGGATGATTGATCACTGGCAGGCCATTCACCATATTCTTCTGACCGAGCAACTTCAAGCCTCCAAAATTTAGATGGCCATACCTCAGATGCCATAGCCATGTATTGTCCTTCACACACGCTTTCAAGCACTTCGCCATTTCAGTTTGAATGTTCAGCGTGAACATTCTGTTTCTCGACATTGGTACTCTGGCCAACAACTGCTTCTTTTCATTTAACAGCTCCAGTTGACGATTCACCATGTGGACTTCATAATTCTTCTCCATCAATTGACCCAAACTCAGGATGTTACTTGTCATGTCTGGGACATAGTACACATCACTGATAGATTGTTGTGAGCCATTTTTGAGCCGGATGAGTATTGTTCCTCTGCCTTTGATAGGAACTTTCGAGGAGTCTCCAAATACGACATTTCCTTTCACCGATTCATCCATATCCATGAACATGCTTCTTTTACCGCACATGTTGTTGCTTTGCATTATCCAGATACCACATATTATCTCTCGGTTTTTCATCTCCTTGATCTGACAGCATCAATGTGCCTTTGACTTCTTCTTCTTGCACGTTGTTTGCTATCTCCTCCACTTCTTTAGTCGGAATCCAACATTTCGATGCATAATGCCCATATTTCAAGCAATTATAGCATTGGACGCTGGATTTATCACGAGCTTCATTCGATCTCCAACTTCCTCTTGCACGTCCACGACCACGACCTCTGCCTCTGGTGGACGTTTCATAATTGTTCGTGGTGAAATTTCCTCCATCTCTGCTTTGATATGCTCCTCGGGCTCTTCCTCTTCCTCTGCCTCTGTAGTTTCCTCTGCCTCGACCTCTGTACTGACCTCCTCCTCGGGCACCTTCTTTCTCCTCAGTGGTAGCTTTTGTAGCTAACACTTGTTCTGACGATTCTTCATTTCTTTTATTTAATCTTTCCTCCCGTGCTTGCAATGAGCCGATAACTTCATCCACCGTCATTTTTGACACGTCCTTAGCTTCTTCCATGGCCACCACCACGTAGTCAAATTTTGGTAGTAGTGATCGTATAATTTTCTCCACCACTTTGGTCTCTTCAATTTTCTCCCCATACTGCTTCAGTTTGCTGGCGATAGACTTCACACGAGCGCTGTAATCTGAAACAGATTCACCTTCCTTCATTTTAATGGCTTCAAAATCTCCCCTTAGTGTCTGAAGTCGAACCTTCTTCACTGGTTCCACGCCTTGCATTTCCTTTTGCAAAATCTCCCATGCTTCCTTTGCTGTGGTAGCATCTGCTATTTGGTCGAACATCGATTCATCAAGACACTGATGAATGAGAGTGAGTGCTTTTTGATTACTCTTTCTATTTTTTCTCAATACCTCCTTTTCAGCAGGAGATAACCGAGAATCCTCCGTGGGAATCTCATAAACTTTCTCAACAATATCCCAAGCATCTTGGGATCCCAACAAGGCTCTCATATGGATGCACCAATTTTTGTAATTGGTTTTGGTAATGTGGGGGAATTGAATGGGGAAAGTAGATTTTTCGGCCATGGGATAATTGTGATAACAAAAACACGAGAAATTCTTTTCTGATGTGGAAGTTCAGACTAGGCTGCAACCACAGAGCATACTTAAGAATAACTCGGGCTCTGATACCACTTTGTTGGAAATAAAGTAATTTATTTCCTTTATTTGGTGGGCAAATGACAATGGTGGGAGGAGCTCGTTGAGAGCTTGTTGGAAATGGAAGGGAGTTTTTTTTATTTGGGACAAAAGAGTTGAGATTGACAGAGGGATGGAGAAAAGAACTTATTCTTTATTGCTTCTGCTTCTTAGCTCTTGCTTCTCTACACACCATTTCCAACAAAGTACATGGCTATTTATAGTCTCCACATTTGCAAAATATCCAAGCAGCCGACTTAAGTCGCTGGTGCTTATTTATTTTATTTTTTTTGCTTTGTTTAATCCAACAATCATGCAACTAACTTATTAATTTCAAACCTAACCACTTCTTGACTTTTCTAGCAAACTACCACAAGTTGGTTCTGTAGGACATTCTGATATTTTTGCTTTGATAGTTTTTAATTAAACTTTATTTTATAATTTCAACACTCGTTGGCTGGGAAGTTCGAGGCGACTTCGTGTCCACTATGATGGCGCCCGCGGCAAGATGGAGGTTTCGGCGCCTATGGATTTTAGTTACGTCCGCCAAAACTTCACGCTCACCTTTGTACCCAGAATTTCCATCAAATTTAGCTGGGGAAAGAGGCGGAGCAGTTCGCGTGGTCGCGGCTGCGGCCAAATTATATCGTGATTGTGGGTGACTCAACAAGGTTGGGACAGTCCTCGTCGTCTCTTGGATACGCATGAAGGTCACCCAAGGCGGAGCTACAATGAGGCCCTCGGTTAGGGCTCTATCAATTGGCAGATTCAGCTTGTCGGCCGCTGATGGCGTCGATGATGCGCTTGGTGATGGGGCGGTGATCATCAAACGGGTGTTCATGCGTATTGGGCTGTGATCTGAAGAGTAAAGGAAATCTCATCTTTGTATTATTGAGTAGCTACATATTTATACACATTTTGAACAACGGATTCCAGCAACTATTTAGGAGAGTGCTAGAAACAGAATACTAAAACTAAGCTAACTAAGTTAGCTACAATACAGCAACGACAACATAGTGGTTCTGGAACCAGTCAAAAGGAATACTCCAACACCCCCCACAAGTGAAACCTCGGAGAGGTGAAACTTGGAACAGAACTGGAGAAAAGGCCAGCGAGTCAGTGGTTGAGTAGGAACATCTGTCAGTTGATTCGTCACATGAAGGTAGTGCACTTGTGACTGATGCTTGTTGACTCCGTCCCAAACAAAATGCAACACAATTTCCAAATTCGTAAACCGCATGTGAAACACAGGATTAATGACCCAAGATGTAGCCCCCAAGTTGACACATCAGAGGATAGGAGGAGTAGGGAGAGGTAAGGCGAGAGAAGAATAGGGGAAATAGGAGTAGATAATGAAGAGGACAGTGGTGGGGGGTTTAAAAGAGTGAGAAGAATATAAATGGTAGAAGAGAGGAGGGAATAGAAAAAGACCAAAGGAGAGGGATCATGGTTGTGGGGTTGGATTTAAGAAGAAGAATGGGAGAAAGAGAAAGAGACAAAGGAGAATAGGAGAGAAGTAGGGAGGAGATAGGTGGAAACGCCTCCACAAGTGTCGTAACAATATTATTATTCCATAGCAGGAGCTGTCTTGCAGCGAGAGAAAGGTAAGGAAAAGCTTGGCTGAAGTGGAGGAGAGGGAGAGATGAAGTTAGAGAATGGGAGGAAGAAGATGACTAGCTGGATTGAATTGGAAGACACACCAGGGGCTGGAAGAACAGCTGATAGAGGCAGCACCCCTAGTCCCAGACGGAGCCAAACAGGAGTGTGTAGAATTGTGACCGGCAAGCGGGATGGTTGGAGTCGCCAGTAAGTTTCAATGGCAGCTGAAGCGATATTAAAAGAAGAGAATCAGAATCACCAGGTGAGGTGGAGACAAGGAGAAAAGAGGCAGAGGATTGAAGAAGAGGAATAGTTGCACATGACTCTAATTTTGCCGGGAAGAAGAATGAAACTGGGTAGCAGGAATCGATAGATTCAGAGAAGGCGATCGGGATAGAAAGAGGAGGAACCATCGTCCATTAGTTTTTGCAGAGAAGAGTACAGGAGTGGGTGGCCGGCGGCTTCTCT